CAAAAACCAAATAATTATTTTTCAAAAAATAAAAAAATAAAAAACATTCCAATCACATGAAAAGAACACAATTACATAAAAAGAAGTATAAAATTTCACAGTATAATATAATAATTACGTTAAATTTTCTAACTTGTTACAAACTTTTTCAAAATGACAAAATGGAAGAGTTAAAGATGACTATTTTTATCTTTTGCCGGTCAAGATGCACGAGAACTGGGCAAACATGCTGGTATTGAACGCAAACATCATCACCGACATCTTCTTCCTCATAAGCGGTGTACTAATGGCGTACACGGCGCTAATAAAGAACGAGAAAGATTCACGAGGTCGTTTCGACGTGATCGGTCTTTACCTTCATCGATACCTGAGACTTACACCAGCCTACGCCATGATGATCGGTTTCTATGCGACGTTGTTCTACAAAGTTGGATCGGGTCCGCACTGGGACCAATGGGTTGGCGCTAACAGAGACTACTGTCAGGAAAACTGGTGGACCAATCTTCTGTACGTGAACAATTACGTTCATCTGCCGAGAATTGTAAGTGAAATTGAACAATTACGAGATATTACGTAATATTTATTTTTTACGAGTATAAGCTCGTTATAGTATACATATATAATGTTATATCATTTTCAAACGTTATACAACAGTGTGCTCACTTATAACGAACACTTGAATCATTTCCGTTGTTATTTTTCAATAAGAGAAAATGACTAATAAGGGGAGATTGTATAGTTCTGAAACTAATACGAAAGTCGGTGGAGGATAGGCGGGAAAGGAAAGGTTAGGAGGGCGTTCCGTCCTGGGCCTCCTAGTGAACTCGTCAGTAACGCTTTCTAGGAGGGACTCGTGCATTAGACGCAGGAGTGACTGGAAGGACTCGGGTCAGAAGGTGTATACAAATGTACTTATATACAAATAGGAGCCATTATGAGGACTAGCGAGAACCTGTGGTTAGTCCGTCCCTCTGGTGGCAGAGCGTAGGAGGCTCGCTACAGTTCGAAGACGTGTATACATAGTGATGATAAAAAAAATCCCCAGTCATTTTAAATAGAGGTCATTCCAAGGTCATCCTCTGGTGGCAGAGCGTAGGAGGCTCGCTACAGTTCGAAGATGTGTATACATAGTGATGATAAAAAAAATCCCCAGTCATTTTAAATAGAGGTCATTCCAAGGTCATCGGCATTTTCTTTTTTTTTACCATTTTAAGTGAATATAAGGTTATAATGTCATAGGTCGTTGAAGTCACCTCGATATGTATCAGCTGTGACGTCCCATTATAAAAAACAGATGTTAACGTACGAAAAAATGTCGATGACCTTGAAGTGACATTCAAAATATCCTTGAGGGACTTTTTTTCAATCATCACCAGATAGATGCATTTATTGAAATCATATAAATCCCTCAGCCGTTTTTTGTTACTTTCAATACTAGAGTTTTATAGGTTGGATGTTCATTATAAGTGAAGCACCCTGATTATTTTACACGAATATTCAGTTATTGCTATTTTATTAATATTTTTCATTCAATTTATTACTTCATTATTCGATATTATAGTATTTATATTACTATTTGCATAATATTATAGATATTATGCGTGTATCGTTTATCGGAATGATCAGTAGTTGTTTGATAAAAGTTTTTACGTTAAGCATGAATTGCATACTGCAGAATGTACTTACGAAGAATTTGAGCCGATCGGTCTCTGAAATTCGTTGAATTTTTGTCGACATATATTGTCAATGTAATTATACATATTCAATATGATTTGACATAAAAAAAATGATTGTCAGTTAAAAGTTTAATATTGGAAAGTCTAAACCGTTTAAAATTTTGTTTAGTCCACTATGCGTGTGTGTGTGTGTGTGTGTCTGGAATTTATATATATAATTATTAATTGGTTATAAGAAACCTAGAAGATATTTAAAAAAAAAAATTCAATTAACTTAGACACGTGGTTTACTTTTCTCACTAATTTTCGAAACTTCGACACCAACATTTTTTATTCCATATATTATCTTAATTATGCATAAACATCTACATCTTATCTCTATCGTAAACTGCTATATTGCATGACAAATATGTTGAAGAAATATAGTCATGTATTTTGTACAGCATACAATATGTCTTAAAATCATAGGTATAAACGAGGTTAACTGGAAGAAAGAAAAATGTGTCACAACTTATCGGTGAATGTAATGTCGAGAAAGGAACCTCTTCAGAGATATCGAATTTTAAATGCCAAAACAAGTAAGCCACGTAGATTAATTGTACGATTTTACTCGCTTATTTAATTTCTCGTCACAAGTATCATCTGTCGCTGGATGCTGCTATTCATGTAACACGCAAGCAGCACTGTTTACATCGAAAATAGCTTCGAACGAGTATTGCGCCGACTGTCGATATATCGAATGCTCGTCCAATCGTAATGCAGCAACCTTCGTGAAGCGCTTTTGTTTACAATTCTGCCGCGTAATTTTTCTCTCCACGAACATTTCTCTCTGCATTTGTCTCGACGAATATTTCTTAGAAGAAGTGCATTTTATCGCGTGTAGGAGTATCCAGTGGAATAAAGAAGAATCAGGTTAAGTTGTGCATCCAAGAATTATCTCTGACAATGTTTGTCTCTCGACACGTGTTCACCGACACTTCTGTTGTACCGACCTGTGCTTTTGAAACATCCTGTAACAACATTTGCCACTAAATTGTGTGACTAAATTTCTTGGACGATTTACAATGAGAAAATGTCTAAGTGAAAAATGATCGAGAGAACGAAGAAATTGTGAATGCAGCCGGTAATGAATAATTGTTTGTTTTATTACTTTTGTTTTTAGTGCATGTCTCAGTCTTGGTATCTGGCGACCGATATGCAACTGGTCTGGCTGTCGCCCATTTTCTTGTATCCTATGCTCAAGTTAACGCGAGAAATGTTCTTCTGGCTCGTTTTCGCGTTAGGCCTATTTGCCTCAGTTCTAATACCATTCCTAATAACATTCAATATGAAGCTCAGTGGAACTATGCTCTATTACAAGGAGTGAGTGTATTTCTCTCTTTATCTATATCTATCTTACTATCTTCACCATCTTTGTCCCGCTCGTTGCACTCATCATACAGTACATATTCGTCTGATTTATTTCACTCGCGATCACTTTTTCCTTCTCTTTCCTTCTATTGTCGCTTTGTACTCTGTTCACTGATTACGTTCGGCGTGTGATGTTACGAAGCGCGAATTTCAACAGATTGAAAAATAATCTTTCCTCGTATCTTTTGTTTTCTCTTGTTTCTCTAGTAACACAGACGTGGCGAATGTTTACATAGAAATTTACACTAAGGTTTACAGCAGATACGGGTCCTACATTATCGGCATGGCTCTGGGCTACCTTTTGTACAAGAGTCGATCGAGGGTTCTTAAAATTCGTCCTGTAAGTATATTTTATCGACTTGTTATATATACTGTGTTCTACACCTATATATAATGAACGTCTAAATTATTTCCGCTGCTATTGCAACTGAGAAAAAGAAAAGTTAAGTAGAGTTTACATGGTTTGAGGAAGTGCACCTGAAAACTTATTTGCCAAGGTCATCTTGAAGCTCATTCCAAGGTCGTCGACATTATTTCGCATATTAACATTTGTTTTTCACGAGTAACATTGAGACGAGTTCAAGAGATCGTGACCTTGAAATAACCAACCTGCGAAATAAATGAGTAAAATATGAACGTTGAGTCATTTCTCAATTTTTCACTGAAATTAATTGGACCGTTTATTTTGAAAGTGGAGCAGTTCCATTTTTTTTTTATTAACTAGTTTTAAGTAAAAAGTTTACACTAAATTAATCACAAATTATTTGATATCTCATTTTTTAAAAAAATGGACTTACACCACTTTAAAAATAAACGGTCCAATTAATACCGATATTCGTTCCTCACATGTTAGCACCTAACCTAACATTGAAACGAATGTTTCAAGTTTGAGGTTTTCTGATCAATTAAATTCAAGACTTTCTTTAGATGTACGTGATATTTGGTTGGCTGGTAGCTGTAGTTTCCGGTTTTTTCATATTCATCTGTCCTCGATGGATGTATTTCGACGACCGCGCCTACGATAGACTAGAAGCGAGCTTTTACGCAGGTCTTCATAGGCAAATATTTGCCCTTTCCATTTCTTGGATCATCTTCTGCTGCGCTCGTGGTTACGGTGGTAAGATTCATTTTTCATTTAAACATTACAAATTGGTCGTTGATGATCATTTATAATTTTAGAAGAATAATAAATTAATAGCAGATGACGTAGGTGATTCTTGTTTCTAAAATGTTTTTCCTTTTTTCAAGGTTTCGTGAGTCAATTCCTTTCATGGAAGGGCTGGGTTCCCTTCAGCAAGCTAACCTATAGCGCTTACCTCTGCCATTACGTGTTTCTGTTAACAGAGGTTGGATCTGTTCGAACTACCGGCATACTTTCTGCTATGGCGGTTGTAAGTAGCCAATTGTGGATGAATTTATGCTTTAATGTAAACATTTATCAGAACGAATATCTTATTTCCCAAACTTTTTAGCTGCGCAGCTTTTTCAGCAACCTCTGCCTCACGCTCATCCTCTCCGCGCTCTGGACCATCTGCTTCGAAATGCCCTTCATGACCCTCGATCGTACCCTGCTTTCTCATCGTCGAACCTCTTCGAAACTTTCCTCGAAACCTAACCAAGGCAAAATATACGGTTCCACAGACTCCAGCAAAGAGATCTACCGTTCCACCGAAGAATCATCCGCGACAATCTCCCAAAGCTGCGAGGATGCTTTCCGTCAGAAACCCAGGAAAGACAACATATACGATTCTCAAGAGAAGTACCAACAAGGAGTCTATCGCTCTTCTGTCAGGCAAGACCTTAAATCACAAGACACAGAGGACAGGTGCCCCTTTATATTCGTGATAGGTTCGGATGGTAATTCCTGGTCGAAAACGAGAAACGTTCATCAGAACAATGGTTTCAACGACGATTCTGACGAGTCGTTCAAGTCAATTGCAGAACACAGAAACGATAGAGGTTACGAGTCCATTATGAGCGAAGATACAACGAGGAAGGACGGAATCAGGGAATCTGAACAGGTTAATGCAAGTTGATGGGAGGTTTGGAGGACGAATGATAAAACAGCTTGCTGGTCAAGCACTTTGCAGGATATTTGCTAGGACGATTTGTGTATGTTGATACAGGAACTCCTATGGGTGGTCACTGATGGTCTTGTTTGGCTGTTGTTGAAAATTTTTATTCGATACGAGGAGAGGTTATGAGTATTTTGTTATTGTTATTGTTGTATTGGATGTGGTCGGATTTTGTATAGGATTTTATGTAGAGCGATTTCTTGTACAATTGTATATTGAAGTTAGGTTAGGTTGACGGGAGTAGTGTTCCTTTTGCAGAATCAATTTTTTCTTGTGTGAAGAATCACTCTCTTTTAAGTTGTACTTCAAATTCGACCATATTCTGTATTTGTAAATTCAACTCGAAGCGCCTTCGTCGAGCTGATGTTGATCCGTCGGTGTGGAAATAACTTAACGCGAACGCTTAGTCGTTAGTTAGGAAAAAATAAAGGTACAAATCAGCTGTGAGAAATCGTTGACGATTATTAAGTATAGTTAAGTGGTGTTGTTCTTAGAGACAGGAAAAAGAACCGGTGAAACGATCGAAAGAAAAAGAGATATAGCTGTCTTTCATTGTATAATTTATTATAGCGTAAATCAGCAATGGCCAGTATAAAAAGAAATATTTAAATTCAATTCAAATTCAAATTTGCAGATGTTTCTGTTAACTCTAAGTAACATTTTATTTTTTATTTTCTAATTATTCTAATAACAATGCCTATAGTTTTGCGAAAATAACAAACGATGGTCTTTTTTCTATAGTTGTTATAACACAGGTTAAAAAAAAGAATTAATTGTTTCATAAGCTCTATTAACCTATTACGCAATATTTATACGACGAATACTGTTATTTAATAAGCTAGCTAGTGTATACAATTTACATTTTTTATTCTATTTTCATTTGCGAACGTGTTTAGTCGGTAACGTCACTCTCGTGAAATACGAAAATACATACAGTATTATGTCTAATATTAAATCGTCTAATTTTATAATAGATTACGTACATAGAAGTTAAAGGAAGTAATTTAGGAAATTATTTTCTTCTACCACGCTTAATTTTTCCTGTACACCGTGTCTATGATAAGCATGCGTATGCAATATGTAATATCGTGCGAACACCGAGATTTTTTTTTCATTAAACGTTCTTTAGTCTCGTTATTACTAATCAATGTATAAGCTTAACATTTTTTGACACTTTTGGGCGAACGAAATGTTCTATGTTGGATGTCGGTGTATTTTGTTTACGGAGAAAAAAAGATGAATTATTTAACGAATGTTGTTATTCACTTTTCCTTATCTTTCCCTCACAATGAGTTGGTATTTTAAAAAAATCAAATTTCAAGTTTTACTTGTATTTGTTACAACGTTAGTTTCAAATTTCACTTTCAAGTTACGTCGACCACTTCTAATTTCCCTTAACCCTTTCGATACACTGTAATTTTTACTTCTTCACTATAGAGTACATATAACTCTACAACAAAAGGAGGTTAGAATTAGGGGAAAAGGGGTCAAAGTAATTTCTAGTTAGCGCAACATTAGTCCCAGCTCGTGTCACTGTTTACTTAGGCCAGTGTTTTTACCTCGACTGACCCTTTCCATGTGATCGCATACTTGTTTCTTTCGGACACGATCCAAGATTAAGAAGAGCCATAGAGTAGTAAGCCGAGAAGAGAATGGACTGCTTGTTTTGTCCGTGGAAGAAATCGATACTCTATGATCGAAGGAACCGACCCTTTCGAGAATTCAATTTCCTTCCAACTTCTCCTTGTATTTAGGTTAATTCGATTCGAGTGAGAATCTTCACCTTTTTGTCAGACAGAAGTTACGTCTTATGTAATTTTATTTAAAAACTTCTTTTTTTATTAAAACACGAAAATGATTTTACAAAATTTTTTCTTGGCAAACTGTGCTTGAGAAACAAGTTTTAATCGTTGTCTTATTCAAATAAAGTAGTTTATCGACAAAGCTAGTCGTGGATTGGTCTTTCTGTGATTGTAATACTGCGTACATTGACATTTTGTGAGTAATGTAGCGAATTAATGGTAGATGACGCTTCGAGTATGAAAAATTTCAATATACAAAAAAATATAAATTTTTCAATTCGCTATTTCAACAATGTAGGTGAAAACTATGACGAAACAATAAGATTAAATGAATTTTCAAACTTGTTGTATTTGTGCATTTCAATGTTACGTTTACAGAATGAAGAGTGACGATCTTTGTCGAACGATAAATCGGGGAAGGAAATTGAATGTGGACGAGGGTTACGTAAATTGTTACGAAACATCGCGAAAAGTGTATCGCGTGTATGTGGGAATTCGATGACATCATTAACAGAGCACGTTGGCGTTTCAAGGGGTTGCAAGTGCAGTTGCGACACGTGCTTAAAACGCCCTTGGGATGTTCGCCCTTCCGTGGGAAAACCGAACCCGCATTTTCACGAACACTTCATATATAGTGTATTTTTTTCTTGAAAAGGGATCCGCGTGCACTTTTCGAACGATTAACAACTTAGCCGGCCAATTGGGGATGCCTCACAACTTCTATAAGTCGAGGAGAAAGACTACCCACTTAAGGGAACCTTTTTCTCCCTCTTTTTAACGATGTGGGAGTGTGGTTTTGTAGATTTCACTTTTTTCTCTTAAAACTATAAGATTTTTTAAGGAATATTACAGAAATTCCTTGAAATGAAGGAACTTTTTATAACATTTGTAAATAATTATGAGAATTATAAGGTATTTTTAAAGAATGTAGCGTAGCAAGACAATTTGTTTTTATTTTAAGTAGTGTATGATGTATCAATTGTGGGAATTATTTTTATACCTTCTTAAATACAAATTTTTATACAAGATGACGAATGAAAATTTAATGTAGATTCAGTACAAACACATACAATTGATAAAAATCATAAAGATTATAGTATCTGTATACATATTACACAATTTGTTATGTAAACAACATAAAACCTGTATTTTTTCAATTATAACGAAACTGGTAAGGTACCACAATAACCTCTAAAGAACACTTACAAAATTAATACAAATTACTGTACAATTACGAAAAACCAATAACCTAAAACAACCATCCAAATTTCATTATAACAGAAGAATACCAAACATCACCCCTGTAGTTACATCACCATCAACCATAACCTAACTAAGTAGATAGGTTAATCCACCTAAATATCCAATAATCTAATGAGCATATCGTACCAACAACGAAACCAGCATCTTCATCAAAAGTATCATTTCCAACCACCGCTGCTATTATCGTCACCACGAGGAAACGCATTTAGTTATTGCGGAGGAGTGGATAGCAGGTCGTGATTGCGTAAATTGGGGTGTTGTCGTCGATGGAACGGTGGCACCCCGTAGCGAGGAACACCGAGAGTGAATTTCAGAGTGGGATCGTCATCGACGACGTGTGGTCGACATCTGCGAGCCCACCGTTTTTCCGCAATGAACACGACGCAACGGAGAAACATTTGTCTCCCTCCCCTCTATTCTCTCTTCTCCAGCCGTTATTTATGTCCTTCGTTATGGAGCACCGTGACTTTCGACGTTGAAACCTTCGTTCGTTCGACCATTTTTTTCCACGCGTTATTAGCATGCACAATGAACCAGTGTATGCGGCTGAGTAACAAAGGGATTTTCGGACACACCGTTCGTGTGTTTGTTGAAAATCTTCCGGGGGACAAGCACGGAAAATGGAATTTACGTTTGACAGTTTTGGAATAATATAGAAACAGATGTTTAGGGAAACTGTCTTGGTTTGGAGGTTATAATAAGTCGATCTAACGAAAATACAGATGCAACTGAGACGGTTATGTGTATAAGGGATCAGTGAGTAATAGAACGATGAAAATTTCCAATATTAGAAAAATTAGAACATTTTTTTTGAAATTTCGAAATGTGAAATTTTTCAATTTCGTTATTGTTGGAATTTTCGAATAATGTGA